TACTGTATGAATTTAGGGGAATTTGCTACATATTAATTGATGCCAAATCCTGGTTTCACATATATTTCACAAGGTTTTGGAACACCAGATATTCACTCTTGTTCCACCAGCCTTTGTGCACATAATTGTTTTTTCCAAGAAGTGCCTTTTTGTGTAACCCTTATTCAGAAAACCACACACTTCTTCTCATTGCTTCCAGTGGAAAGATTTATGGTATTTTTATGGTCTCACTGGAACATCAAGTTTTTCTATTTCTGCTGACACAGAAATAAGTTTTTCCAGGAGGTTGACTAGAGTCTCTACAACCTTTACATCTTCAAAATATAAGGGATGCAAGTGTCAGCCGTTATTTTTTGGCCATTCATTCTAACTAATGCATCCAATGTCTATTTTCATTTTTATATATAATTTTATTAAAGTTTTTTTTAAAAATGGAACATAAAATCTACAGATAGCCCTTGACTTACAACTGATTATTTTCATTAAGACGGCAATGAAAAAAGTGACTTGTGACCATTTTTCATACTTACAATGACTGCAGGATCCCCATGGATCAAAATTCAGATGCTTGGCAACTGGTTCCTATTTATGACAGTTGCACTGTCCTGGGGTCATGTGATCACCTTTTGCGAACTTCTGACAAGCAAAGTCAATGGGATTCACTTAACAACCGTGTTACTAACTTAACTGCAGTGATTCACTTAACAATTGTGTCAAGAAAGGCTGTAGAATGGGGCAAAATTCATTTAACAACTGTCTTGCTTAGCAACAGAAATTTTAGGTTCAATTGTGGTCGCAAGTCAAGGACTACCTATGTAATACAAACTGATATTAAGTAAAAAGAAAAAAAAGGAAAGAAAAAGCTAAAAATACAAAAAAGTGAAAAATGAAAGGAAATAGAAAAGAAAGGAAAAAAATACAAAGAAGCGGTTTTTTATCTTCTTTACAACAGTTGTAAGTACAATTATAAATTTATCTCTTACTGCATGGTTACAACAAACTTTTCTTTCTAGAATCTATCCTGACTAATCATCAAAGCTCATTCAAATCATAAATTCATTTTTTTCTGTTTTACACAAAAAGTCCACAAAGAGGTGTAATCCTTACTTTCAGATTGATTCTGAATTCCAACTCTCGTATTTGAATTTTCTTCTTTTTTCCTCATACCCACCTGCCTGCCTTACACTATCTTGAGTATGCAGAACTCAATATTTTGCTCCCTTCTTTTTTGTGTTGCTTTTTTGGTTCATTCTCAGTAGAAATGGGAATTCAAGAACATTATTCATGGTTAACAGAACAAGTTTCTGCTGCTTTTCTAAAGAACCAATAATATGGATGCCCCAATGAGCTTATGGGAAGACACACTATCTTAATCTTATAACATCACCAATTTCACTTCAGACACTGGCAAGAGGAAAAGTACCAGTAATGAGGAAAATGAGAAATTACATGAGAATCAAATGCCCTCATTCAACATCAAGAGTTGTATTGTGGTGATTGTATAAAAAGTGCATCACTGATATATTAGGACAAGGGCACCCGCGGAAAGCAAAAACTGACCTTTTGCAAACAAACTTAATTTTGCCTCATATCTAGACAAGGTCCTTAACCTCTATTCACAGGAGTTTTGTTTTAGAAAGCAAAGCAGAACTATAGTGCCTACGGGCCCTTCTGTAGAAAAGCAATTTTTTAAAAAAAAGACAAGAATCAAAATGTTTTAATATTCTCTCCTCCGAGTGAAGGAACGAGTTCAAAGAGAGTTTGCAAACTTTTAATTTAAACTCTGTGCTAATTCTTATCAGCTTCTGATGGTTAAAAGTGCTTGAAGCAATCAATTACCGAATGGACATTGTATTTAAAGTTATGTTAAACTGACTCTCTCTTCCAAATTGTGTTTTTGGTTCATCAATATATAGGTTAGTCCTTGATTTACAACTGGATGTCCATTCAGATTAGCGAGGGCGAGATTAGTAGGCTTCCAACTGGATCCCAAAATTATGACCCCAATATGGTCCCGTGATCATGTGAGCAAGATGTGATCAACCTTTGGTACCTCAGAAGCCACCTGTGCTTCCAATGATCAATTTTCAAGGTCCATGACAATCCAGGGATTTAACAACAGATGGATATTTTTCCTCATTGCTGTTGTGTGCAGGACCAACAGAGCATAACTTCTGTGTGCCTAACAAGAAAAGCTTTTCCTCCCATTAAGCAGTGACTTACATTTGCCTTTAATTTTCCCTCAGTTTTTGATTAACAAGTACAGTAGACATTTGTATGTTGGCATTCATAATCCATCCTCTGCCTAACTTTTAATTATATTTAACAATATTGCATGCTGATTTATTGTTTCAAAGGGTTTTTTTTTATTCCAAGATTTTCCTTCCTTTAGAGTATTTGGAAGCAGAAAGCAGTCATGTTAATGACGAACAGCTGTATCTACTGTTGTATTACTGCTCAAGGCAAACATTTTATTTACTGTAGTAGTGTCTTCGTCTTAGTGGCTGTTGTTGATCTAGGTTTATTTATTTTTATTTAGATGATATAGAGTTGGTAAATTCTGTCTTGCTGATGCTATTTAGAGTAGATGACACTTTTAGCTAGCTACAAGTGTAGCATATTAGCTGTTGTTGATCCAGGTAGGAGCTGTATTTTATTTTTACTGTAATGTATTTTTTTCTTTTGATTTTCTTTCCAATCCCTTGGAAATACTGTAGCAGTAACTGTATGTGCAAAATAATGTTTGGAGTATTTTTCTATTTTCCAACAGTGCCAGAGGACCAAATATTAAATTGCATTTATTTTTCTCCAAAAGGAAAGGGGTAAAAGGAGTTTTGCTAGGGCTTTCTTGAACTAATATAAAATAAAGCAGCGATCTCTTAAATTAAAAAAAAAAATCAATGTAGGTCAAATTTATATTTTGAACTTTTCATGTGGTATTGCCTCTGTCATGAAAAAGTACTTAACTGTAGCCTCTGTAGCCTATAACACTAATTTAGTTGTAAGGCTTAAGTGCTAGAAGCAGCAGTTATTTGCAGAGTTTAAAAACAAAAATACAAGACAAACTGTACAAGAGTGTTAGTTTCTTTTCCATAAGAATTTGCACCCACAAATAGATTCATTATATCATTCTACCATTTTTTCATAGAAAATAACATTAAATATTATCTGTGCAGTGTGATAGAACACACCTGTCATCTGCATATATTTAACTTTAAAAAGGCAATCAAAATAACTAACTTAACAATAACATTATATATTGAAATTTAAGTAGAGAAAATATTTCTCATCTTTCTTATTCTAACCTATGCAGTCAGGTTATGGTTAACCTTTTTGCCACAAAGTGCTGAAATTGGAGCGTGCGTGCACCGGAGTACTGGAACCTGGAAGAGAGCAGCTGGCCAGTGCACATACGCATGGCGGCCAGTTGTTTTTCTGGGTTCCATCCTGCGCATGCACGCCAGCCAGCTGCTCTCTTCCGGGTTCCGCCGTGTGCATGCGCGCTGACCCATGCACCGGAACCCAGAAGAGAGCAACTGTCCGGTGTGCATGTGCACAACAGAACCCAGAACACCAGCTGGCGACAGCGCATGTGCCCACAAAGGGCTCTGCGTGCCACCACTGGCATGCTGCCATAGGTTCACCATCATGGGGTTGTATGGTTAATTCCCAACCTGATCCCCCCAAAAATGCAACGCCCATATTTTTTGTGTGTGTTTTTATGATAATTTTTATTAAAAATTTAAAAATACAAAGATAAAAACCTATAAAACACACACACACAAAAAGAAAAGTGGAGAGAGAGAAAAGGGTTCCTCAAGACAAATTCTCGGAAGGAGATAGCTACCGTTCAAATCTTGTAAAGAAAATTGCAGGGTTCTGTCCAGGCTGTGACAAAGATTTTCCAAAGCACCAGAAGGCAGGACAAGAAACAATGGATGGAAACTAATCAAGGAGAGAAGCAACCTGGAATTAAGGAGAAACTTCCTAACAGTGAGAACAATTAACCTTCCTTCAGAAATTGTGGGTGCTTCATCACTGGAGGTTTTAAGAGACTGGACAGCCACTAGAAGACCTCCAGGGTCCCTTCGAGCTCTGACTGATTGGTTCTTCAATCTCCAGGAGTCAACACTGACACAAAGGTACACTCTGCCAAAACCAAAACTTTCATTCTTATAAGCAAACAAGGTTGTAGTTTAAACCTAGGTTGGAAATTGGAAAAATCCAGATGTTTGTGGCACATTATACTGTATGCAATTATACATGCATTCAAAACATCCCTTATGATTTATCTATATATTTAATTATTTTATTTATATTATCTATATTTATATAGATATTTATCTATATTTATTTTCCCCCTCCTTTACAGGCACCCTCTACAGTGGTTTTTTTTCCACCACAATAAACAAAGCTTGAGTTGCATGATACTAATAAAGCTAAAATGATCCAGGGCTGAGACTGGCGTTGGCGACTACATCTTCCTCCTCCGTTTCCTCCAAAGTAACACATTCCCTGATAATAAGCCCAATCGGGCTTTTGAGCACATGGCAATAAGGCCAAGTGCTTATTTCAGAGTTCAAAAAAAATATAAGACAGGGTCTTATTTTCGGGAAAACACAGTAGGTGCAACCCCAAAGAGAAAGAACCCCTTTTGTGAGACAGGGCTTCGAGGCGCTCAGTTGGTTTTGTAGAACAGATCTAAAAAATAGAATTGAGATTTCCCAGGAAACATACAAATAGGTGCTTTGTAAAAACACTCAGTAATCTCACTTGTGATTGTTGGACATTTGTAGGGCTAGAACAGGGGTGTCAAACTCACGTCGTCACGGCGGTGTCACGTATCGGGACTTTTTCCCCCTTCGCTAAACCAGGTATGGGCGTGGCCAGAGCATGACACATCCAGCCCATGGGCCGGGAGTTGTATAGCCCTGGGATTAGAACATAGATGATTCAAGGTAAAGCCTCATTTATGTTTTTAATAACAAAAAAGACATCTGTAACTTGTAGAGCATAAAATCACCTTTATTCCTAGGCCACAGAAATTGCCATCATGCAATTGTGCCAAATGCAGTTGGTACTGACTATTTGCGCTATAAACACTGATGTGAGTTGCGATTAGATCACCAATTAAGTCTCCTGATTTCAACATTAAAAAAAAAAACAACTGAAACAAGGAACTTTTAATTGAACATAGCTTTAAATAGGTCTTCAAAGGTGTTTGAAGCTTCTACATTACAAGCAGCTTCACTCCTAAACAACTGCAGGTTTAGTATTCAATTAGTAAACTCTTGGTGTAATTGGAAGCTGAGCCAGTCTACATCTTCAAGACTCTCATATGAAATCCGCTTGATCTATCTCAAAATAAGCAATTTTCGTTCCTTCGGGAATATAGGTCACTCGATCCACTTCACCCCCTCCATTGCTGGGTTTCTGGAAGTGAATTTCAATCATGTCTTCCACATTCTCCTCATCTTTCTGTTCTGCATTGATTCCTGTTAATAGTACAGCTTTCTTGGAAATCCCTGAAAACATCTGGCACAAAAAAGAAGCATATCATATGTTACTTCCATAGTCTTCCTTAGAGAAAGCTAATATTGAAAGCACCATCACTTAAGAGATAATTACACCCTTTCATTTTTCTACCGATTACAAAATATAAATGCACACTGTTCAAGAACCAACAAAATGTGAGACCTGGGCATGGGAGCTGCACCTCACATGCCCTTTCTAAAATACCAATGTATCACAGCAGGGGGAAGGCTGGGAAATGAACCGTTTGCTCCCCTGCTGTGATCCTAATGAAACAAAATTGGCATGGAATCTCCATCCAGGTCATAGCACATTTTCCCTTTTGAGTCTAATGGGATCATTGGCATATTTCTTCTTGTTACAACTTTATTCTGACCCAAATAAAGCCGCACGAACACTCAAGCTACGTTTGCAAATAAACAAAGCTTTTGCTGTTTAGTCACTAAGTCGTATCCAACAGTTTTGAGACCCAGTGGATCATGACATGCCAGCCCCTCCCCCCTGTCCTCTACTGTCTCCCAGAGACTGCCCAAAGTCATTCATGTTCATTGCATCAATGGTCCTATTCCATCTCATTTTCTACCGTCCTCTTCTCCTTTGGCCTTCAATTTTTCCCAACATCAAGACCTTTTCCAAGGAGTCCTCTCTTCTCATTTGAGCTTCAGCTTCATATCCGTCCTTCAAGAATAGTCAGAGTTGATTTCCTTTAGGATTGACTGACTTTGATCTCCTTGCAAGGAGATCAAAGAGACTCTCAAGAGTCTTCTCCAACATCACAGTTCGAAAGCAATAAACAAAGCTAAAAGGTCTCATTCTTATTTCCTATTGGGTGGATACCACTGACCATGTTACAGTTTATGATACTGTCTGAACCTCACACGATTACGTTGCTCATATATGAAAACCTGATCTTGTAATCTATGTCAAACCCTGGGTACAACTCCCATTTCTAGAATCCCAAAATGATGGCCTTTTTTGGTTTAGGAAGTAGTAACTTACAATGCCTGGTTAAAAAACAGTGTGTGGCAGAAAGTACAATGGTATAGTCAGATATTATTTATTTTAATTCAATGTGCAACACATGCTAAGCTTCACTAAATGGAAGAAAACCAAGACCTAACCATCATCAAACCACAGTAAGTGTTTGATAATATTGGGCCAACCATATCTGTAGTGTAAAATGTGAGATGAACAGTAGGTGGCAGCAAAGAGGTTTTACATTACTTAAAAGAGAGTTACATTATTTAAAGCCCATCAAGCGATTTACCAGATTTTTGCTGCCCATTTACAGTATATGGTTGATACTATGGTGTAAGCAGATTTGACTTCATTCTATAAACATTTAATATGAAGAACTCAATTCTATTGTTTACCCATAGAATACATTTTCCAGCTGCTGGAAATACAATGGATAAATTATCTGGAAAGTAGGGGAATAATATATTAAATACCATGTTTCCCCCAAAATAAGACTGGGTCTTATATTAATTTTTGCTCCAAAAGAGGCATTAGATCTTATTTTGGGGAAAACACCGTACTAAATACATCCGTTTGGCTGACGATCCTAACTGGGCCTTACTTTTGGGGTAGGGCTTATATTACAATCCTGAAAAATCATGCTATGGCTTATTTTCTGGTTGGGTCTTATTTCCGGAGAAATGTGTTATTACAAAGGCTATAAACCATATTCCCAAGGAAGTCCCTTTGAACTCAATGACTTATATCAACTGAAATTTTAATTGTAACGTATCATGCTATATCAACCCAGCCACTAGTCTGGAAAGCATGGATTAGATTTCTCCATCAATGCATGTCAGAGCATGTACCCATCTATCGTATGAGAATAGTTACATGTATGTTGCATTTGTATTTCTGCAAATGTTAACATTTTGGCTAAGGAGCTCTCAAGCAGCAAAGCACAGAACAGGAAGTCTGTTCTGGGATTTGAGAGATGTGCGCATCAGCCTGTCTGCAATCATCTGCAACCTACACTTACCCATTAACCCCTTCACAGTGTAGTTATGCGGCAACGCCTATGTGCAGTTGTGGGCAACTCTAAATCAAGTTTAAAATCAATAATACAATGTGATATATGTCTGCTTTATTGTGGTTTATTCAGTAACCCACAGCTTAACACAACAGATTCATTCACCTGCTGAATTACCTGCCATGCTTGATTATTCCCCCGTTACTTACCTGAACATTTTCCACATCGCATTTTTTGAGAGGTGAAACAGTGAGAAAATGAGTCTTTCCAAACACATTGATACAGTATTGTCCATGCCTTATTATTTTATTAAGAGCTAGAATAAAAAAATAAATAAAAATGAGTTACACAAAGAGGTCCACAACTGAAAAGGGCTGGTTAAAATTTAAATAAATTAACCTAAACATTAGAGTTGCACATATATACTGCTCAAAAAAATAAAGGGAACACAAGCAGAAGACATCCGAGATATGAATGAATGAAATAGCCTTATTAAATACTTTGTTCGTTACATACAGTAGTTTATACACTGCTCAAACACCTAAAGGGAACACAAAACTACTGTATGTAACGAACAAAGTATTTAATAAGGCTATTTCATTCATTCAGATCTTGGATGTCTTCTGCTTGTGTTCCCTTTATTTTTTTGAGCAGTGTACTTTAAATATATAGATACTTATTTAGGAAGAACTAGTTTTCCATTAACTATGGGACATAAAGGTGTTTCTTTCAATATAAGCCACCAGTGGACCAGACTGTAAGGCAAATATAATAAAATATTAATCACAAGCCTTTGTTTCCAGCATAATAATACTGTAGTGCAATTCTAGATAGGTCTACCTGTAAGTAACTCACAAAAGTACAGTGGAATTTAATCCAAAGTAAACAATTTCAAATGTAACATTAACAGAAAAATCTTGTGTAGCACTAACTTTCAAGAGTTGCACTTTCTCCAACCTGGTACCTCCAGAAAAAACTGATTATATTTTTCTACATTCATTAGCCAGATGGCAACAGCTGTGGTGGTGTGTTTTCTAAAACAGCTGGGAAAAATCCAGTTGTGGAAGGCTACATTGCATTCTAGTGAAGAAAATGACATAATATATATATTGAAAAGTACCAATAGAAGAGAATGTATATAGCTCAGGGATGAACACTCAAATGTAGAAAATAAAATATTTTCTGGCATGCTTATTTATATTTGACTTCTAATATCTGATTGACCTCACGTGGGCCAGATAGGCACAGCCACACGGATGGATGTGGCCTCCGTTCTAAGACTATGTGCTTGAAGTCAAGCAAGCAACGATGATCTACAAACAAAGCTGATTACAGACCATATCCTAAAAATAAACTGGTAGAATAATCCAAAAACTACCTATAGGTTGACAAAAGATAACTTTGGCCTCTTGTAAGAATGGATTATATAATATCTTCTGAATTTCACCCAGTTTTGCTTTGTAGAAAAGGAGCTCCAATTTCTCTCTCATCCATTCCTCAGGAATGTTTATATTTGGGATGTTACAAACATAAATTTCCCTTTGAGAGAGCTTAACTTGGATCTGGAAAAACAATACAAGCTGGTGTCAAAATTATGCACATCAAAAAAATTCATAGTTGCAACTATTCAAAACATATTATGATCAGAGCACAATTTCTGATGGGGAAGAATGTTTTCTTGTTATCGCTACTGCCTTTCCTTTCAAGCTTTTCTCTCTCCCAGAGTTATCTGTTCATATTAGCATGAAATTTGGGAGTTATGGACAAGAGAACTGGGAAAGGCTGAACTATACAAAAGATACAGTTAGCGTTAATTTAAAAAAAATTACTATAATAGTCAAGAGTTAAATTATTCCTCAAGATTTTAAGATAGAAATGTAACAGTTGGATTGAGACAGTGTGATGATTTGTACAACGCACTAAGCTAAAATTGTAGTTACCCAACAAAGCATAATGCAACTACAATTCAATGTGGTTTGTATGCACAGTCAATAGTTAGGGAAATTAGCCTAATTTCCCCCCCTCCAGGCTCTGTAATACGTTAGCATTAAATATACAGTGATTTATTCAACAAACCATCATTAAATCATACATTAATATAATGTAGGAATTTCTATCTACAATATGTGTTAAAATCAAAGTTCGCCATAACAGCTGATTTTGAAAATACAAGCAGAGCCACACATGGTTAATACCATCAAAACCATAGCTTAGAGTGGGAAGTCAAAAAACATGCTGAAAGAAGACAGTGGGAATCCATTTCTATATTGTTGCCAAGAAGATAAGCCCTTGATAAGCCCAATGAAATTTAATCAATAAGCATGAATACTCCTTCTTTATAATGAAGACTAGAGGGTGTTCATAAAATGGTCTTTAAATTAGACCTACAGACAATCTTTGCCAGTAAATTCTCAATCCAGTGTTTGGCCAACAGAACATAGTATCATAAGTATACTAACTCAGGAAAAAGGATTCAATTATGTCTGTATGTATTTTTGGTTGAATTAGATGTAAAATCTGGAAAGGTACATATCTAGGGAAAAAATGAAAATTCTAAGAAAAGGCTTGCCTTCTTTCTATGTGATTAGGAAAAAGATAAAAGCCTCTTCAGCCTAAATTTACTATATCCCAACCATGAGAGTCTTATTTCTATGCAGGGCTAAGCAAAGCCAATTGAATTTAAGCTGTCTATATGTGGAGGTCCAGTTACCAGTACAGAATAGTTCACATTATTTGGATATATTTTAACATCTTTCATGATTATGTCATTACCTTAAATGTTGTTCCTGTCGCCAAAACAGCAGGGCAGGCTTTCAAAGCAATCTCCTTATTTTCCAGGTTGATGATATGGTTATGTTTTCTAATCAGATGCTGAGCAACTAAAGAACAACAGATTAACAGGTTTCCATACTGAACATTGACTAAATAGTTCAGCTTCACATGAGACATATAGTCACATTAATCAACAATTGTGAGGAAAGCCAAGGTTTCAACAATGACATTTTTGACATGGGATTTTGTTGACAATTATTGCTGCTAGTTTTGCATGGTTTCCCAACTCAAACATAATATCTCCCCTACAATTAGGACACTGTAATGGTCAAAGTTTCTTGCCAAGGAAAACAGGGTAACAGATCCCTGAAGGAAGTATTCTCGAAAAGCTTGTGTTTTTCCATTCTTGCACTGAATACTTTTTTTTTTTTAAATTTGATTTATATGCCGCCCTTCTCCGGAGACTCAGGGCGGCTTACAATGCGTTAAGCAATAGCCTTCATACTTTTGTATATTTATACAAAGTCAGCTTATTGCCCCCACAAACTGGGTCCTCAATTTACCTACCTTAGAAAGGATGGAAGGCTGAGTCAACCTTGAGCCTGATGAGATTTGAATTTACAGTAATTGCAGACAGCTGGTGTTAATCACAATGCTCCACCAGGCTCAGCAGACTAAATAGATCCAGTAACAACTGATAGATCCAGTAACAACTCAGAATATTCATAATTCAGCAGTTGGCATAAGGTTATTTTTATTGGCACTGACATCTCTCACCACAGCACTGGCTAGGTTCACACATCGTGCTATGCAATAATGGGATCTAATTTGGTTTAGTGTTATGAATCCAACCCAACATATAAATTATGGTAAAGTGATCAACAGCCACCTTTAAATTCCCTTTTTACTGACCCTCTAATTGGATCTGTCAGGCCTGGAAGCCTTTTTTTTTCATTGGATCTTCAGGCCTGCCACATTTACTACTGTGGGAAACTGGGAGGGGAGGTTGTATGGAGCTAGGGTGATATATAGTCATAATAACATTCCTTTTTCAGAAAGTCAAGGACATCTTGCCCTGCACCTGGACGGCTGGAACTGGGAGGCATCTCCAGTTGGGACGGTGCTTGTGATGGACATGTGGGTGTGGAGCAGGGACTTGAACTTTCTTTTGGGTGGGAAAAACCTGGAAGCTTTCAGATTCAGGTTTTCCCAGATGTGCCAATATGACCTCTCTAATAAAATGGAACTTTTGAGGAAACTCAAGCCTCGGAGTTTTCTTTCATGGGAGGGGGTGTTACTTGGAACGCTGATAGGATAATTATCTGATTTTGGCAAAAATGGTAAGCGTTAAGTAGACTTAACATAATTTTATAAACAAAAAAATTAAATGCATTTTTTTAAAAAAATTAGGATCTTGCCATATGAATATATATTTTCAAACATTAAATGTATTATATTTCTTGCTTGTTTTCCTCTAATTTTTATACGTTAGTCATATTCAATTGTAAGGATCATGTGACAGTGAGATGGGTGGCAAATAAATTTGAATTAATTAATTTAAAAAATGGAAGGGTTCCTTGACAGAAAAAAAGTGTTTTCTCCTGGTTCAAAGCTTGGCATGATATGCGAACCCAATCATTCATAGACAATTCCCCTAGCTTATCTGATAAGCCTTAGCTTATCTGATGTGTAAACTCAATCACTTAATATCATAGCTAGCCCACCTACAGGAAGGCTGGTAAGAGACTAGGGCCCTTAAAGAGCATCAAATTATAAATTACTTTATCATTTTTACAGTGGGGATGATAAGGTTAGAATTTCAAACATCAAAACCTATTAAAACAGATTCATAAATGGCAGGTATTTGAACTGATCCTAAAATTTTCTTGTCAGAAAATGAAGCGCTAACTTAACACAACCTCCTTTATTTAAAAAAGGAGGAAATATATCATTTGAATATGAATATACCAGATTCTTCTTCAAACTGAATGAGAGCTTCTCCTCGGTTCACCGTGAGTGGGATTTTTGTAGCTAGGTGAAAACAGCAGGACATGTTTGTGCAGTCATCTTCATCCTTGGCATCCTCCAGGTGCATAAACTTCATTTTTTTTTTAAGTAGGCTCTGCTGAAGCTGAAATTTTAGTAATAATACAGAAGAGGACAACTTTTAAGACAAAAGAATATTAAGTAAACATATTCTTTATCTACTAGTTTCAGTGACACATAAGGCCATTAAGAAACTTTCTTCAGATCCTTTTTCCACTATTTCCTGTTTGTTCAAAGGTATAACGGACAGAATCTTCAATGCATTGTCCATTTTGAGGGATTTGGGGAAGATTAACAATCTTGTACCAAAAATCAGCAGGAAATCAGATAGTTACTTGCCAATTTGCTGAATAATTTCAAAACAGGAACTAGGAACTACATGTTGTCTCTTAAGTATCCAAACCAGGGGTGGTATTCACTTATCTTCACTACCGGTTCGCAAATGTGAGCACGTGCCTTCTGCCCATGTGCAGAGGAAACAGGATGTGATGAGGCGGGTGGGCAAAGCCTCCTGCAGCAGGAGCTACTGGATTGCGAGATCCGGATAGAACCGGCTGAATTTCACCACTGATCCAAACATTTTAAAACTTTAAATCTGGGATTCAACTGAGACTAAATAGTTGCATTAGTACAATATATTAGTAAGAAACTGAATGCAATTTCTGTAATGAAGTAGCAAGCCTATATCTATTTACTTGGGGGAAAAAAACTCTAGAATTCAGTGCGATTTCTATAGTTTATTATTAGGTCATGGATTTATGGCACAAAAATTGTCTAATGCAGGTGTCAAACTCGATTTCATTGAGGGTTGCATCAGGGTTGTGTTTGACCTCGGGAGGCGGAGGGGTGGGGGGGCCAGCATGAAATCACTCATGTTGGGGGGTGCCTATGGCGGCCTAAGTGCTCTGCCAGTGAAATCGGGCTCCTGAGCTCCATTTTCAGATGGGATGGCCTCCTGCAACCCTCTGCCAGCAAAAACAGAGCTTGGGGGGGGCTGCATGCGGTCCTCATGAGCTCCGGTTTTGGCTGGGATCGCCTCCTGCAACCCTCTGCCAGCAAAAATGGAGCTCAGGAGGGCTGCATGCGGCTCTCGCAAGCTCCATTTTTGCTGGCAGAGGCACAGCAAGCCGGTCCTTTGCTGTTTCCAGGGCAGCGCCAAGGGCCAGATCTAAGCACCGTGCAGGCCGGATCCAGGCCCTGAGTTTTGAGTTTGACACCCCTGGCCTAATGGAATAAAACATATAAAGATTCTAATTTTTTGTAAACTACAATTTCCCTGGAAGGGAGGGCAAAGGCATTCTTTCTTAAATAAAGGATGAAGAATCCTTTTATGAAGGATGAAGTAAGTTTATGAAGTAAGTACAGTATGTTAGAACACCAAATCAACTCTGTTGCATCCCCCACATGCACGCCAATTCATTAATGCAAGAGTTTACCGAAAAACTCCGTGTAAATTCTCTACGTTTCTCTTTTTCTGCTGCCAGATTCATCTTAAGGACTTCAATTTCCTTTATCAGCTTATTATTTTGCTCATTTATTAAGGAATGTCGCTCCTGTGGAATATGAAAAAAAAAAAAAAAGACTTACATGCCTAAGAATCAGTTTATGGATGTTTTGAAAAAAAAAAATTATTATTATTATTTTTGCTGGGAAACACAAAATTACTAGAGAGAAGTTCCCTGAAGATGGGCTCCAGCACGAGTCCGAAAGCTCAGAATACAAAACCTCTGGTCCCAGTGATTGACCCAGATTGGATCCTGCAACATTATCCTGGGACAAGTATATTCGTCTTCATTTGTGACAAAATATCCTTGCCAGAAGTTTTAATAAGTAAACTTGTAACCATCTCCAGTATTTTACTGAATCTGAATTATCAATAGAATACAATGTGATTAAGCCATATCTGTACTCCAAGTGAGAGGAAGTGCTTTAAGCAGCCCTCTTACTTTGCTATTTTTGTACAGGGAAGAGTACCACTCAATGAACACTCACATGGATGTGCCGGTCAGTTGAACCTATATCCATAGAAACATGTCAGGGGTGGGCTTCAAATATTTTAGCAAGGGGTTCTCTGGTTGCTGGGTGGGCGTGGCCATGGTGGGCGTGGCCTAGTAAGCCTCCTGCACGATGGCGGGGGGGCGTTTTTGCCCTCCCTGGGCTCCGGAGGCTTTCCTCAAGCCTCAGGAGGGCAAAAACAACCTCCCAAGGCTCCAGATGCCCTATGGAGGCCAAAAACGGGCCCGTTTTTAACCCTCCCCAAGCCTCCGCACGCGCCCTGCACTTACCTGCATCTAAAAAGGGCTGCGTGGGGACTCCTGGGAGGGACAGGGTGGGGTGGGCGGGGCCAGCCAGGAGTGGGATTTGGGGGTTCTCCAAAATGCACAGAATCTTAGCTAGTTCTCCCGAACCCCCAGCAGCCCACCCCTGAAACATGTATATGTCAATCTTACTGTTTTTTTGCCCATTCAGCATATTGTCAGTTAATCAAGATTGTATATGACATTCTTAGCATATTTCTTCACATCCATATATTAGATTGACAAAATGAAGGTCTGAACAAAAGCATTCGCATTTTGTTTATGAAACTCAAGTCTCTCACTCAAATTGAAATTTTCAACTTACAATAGTTCGTTTAGTGACCATTCAAAGTTACAACGGCACTGAAAAAAAGTGACTTTTGACCATTTTTCACACTTATGACCTTTGCAGCATCCCCATGGTCACGTGATTTAAATTTGGATGCTTGACAAGTGGTTCAAATTTATGATGGTTGCAGTGTCCCGGGGCCACGTAATCATCTTTGGCCACCTTCTGACAAGCAAAGTCAATGGAGGAGCCAGATTCACTTGACAACCATGTTACGAATTTAACAACTGCAGTGATTCATTTAACAAATGTCGCAAGAAAAGTCGTAAAATGGGAAAAAGCTCACTTAACAAATTCCTCACTTTGCAACATAAATTCTGGGCTCAACTGTGGTCATAAATCAAGGACTACCTGCACTGTCTGTTTCGGAGTCTGAAGATTCCAAACTGTGCTATCAATTAATATTCAAACTTGTTCTTTTGGGCTCAACTTTTAAGAAAATGAACCTGCAAAATATGAACAGGGTTATAATGCCTGAACTGATGGCTTCTACTTTGTTACGAACTGCAAGACACAATTTTTCTACAAGGACTAAAAATATTAGTTTCCGCAGTGAGATACAGTGACCAGGCATAAGAAACAAAGTTTGCAAGATGTTTTGTTAAATTTATACACCACCCAACTCCCAGAGATTCTAAGCAGTTCATAAAGTTAAAAATAAAAAAGAATAATATAACAATAAAGACAGAGGAGCAAAAAGATGGCAGCAGCAAAAACATCTACAGGTAGTCCTTGACTTACAACTGTTTGTAGTTACAATGGCACCGAGAAAAGGGACTTATGATCATTTTCACACTTATGACCATTGCAGCATCCTCATGGTCACATGATCAAAATTCAGGCATTTGGCAAACTGACTCATATTTATGATGGTTGCAATGTCCCGGAGATCATGGGGTCACCTTTTGCGACCTTTTGACAAGCAAAGTCAATGGGGAAGCCAGATTCACTTAACCATATTACTAATTTAACAACTGCAGTGATTCACTTAAGAACCATGGCAAGAAATATCATAAAAGGGAGCAAAACTCACTTAACAACTGTCTCCCTTAGTAACCAACATAAATTTTGGGCTCAGTTGTGGTTGTAAGTCAAGGACTACCTGTACAAGCTACCAATTAGGGGCCTCACACATTCCAGCCAATCTTGAATTAAGTTTGACTCAATATCACTCTGTAAACATTCACACTTCCCAGCATCAATGTTGAGTTCTATTCTTAAAATGATGGAATGTGGATATAGCCATTCTTTACCTCCTGGTTCTTCTGTATCCTCATTCTTTCAGTTGCTTGCTTAGCATTATGAACTCGTAGATCTGCCAGCGCCTTTTGCCTCATTTTTCTTTCCTCATCAAGGGCAAGTTTTGAAAGAAGGATTTCAGTTTTTTGCTTTTCAAGGTTTTTAAGCTTTTCCTGGGCAAATTAAGAATCCATTAATGCATTTTCAGGATTGCCAATCAAATAGGACTAAGCAGAGTTTTGAACACACACACAAACAAGTACAGCCTCTCTAGTTGGTATAGTATGTATAGATAGCTTAACTATCATTGGCAAAACTTCAAAAGAGTTTGTAAAAACTACCTTCCATTTTTCTAGTTCTTTCAGTAGTTCAGGCTCACTTTTTGAAAGTTGATCTTCCGCCATAGTCTGCAAAACAAAAACTGAAAGTTTTCTTTCCATTTTGCACCAAAAGCTGTTTTTCACATTTCCAAGAGTTTCATTTTTTTCCCTCTCAGATATGAAATTGAAATAAATTGTGAATTATTGGAATAATTTCCAAAGTTTTAGCCAACCACATTCAAAATAGTTTCATCAACCAATATTTTATTAGAACATTACACCTAAGCAAATGAGTGTTTTAAAATAAATGTACAGCATATGAGAACTAGAAGTAAAACAGGACTATTTCGGTAACAGGATAAAAGCTCTGTCTATGTAGATTCCTTATACTCATTCTTTCATGAGCAAGGTTATTTTATTGAATACATTGGAAGGCAGCATTTTTTAAAAAAGCAAGCACATAGAAATGTCTGGCAAGAATAGTGTCTGTTTGTAATACCTTTTCCTGCACCTAACTACTAAATTTATATTCCAGGCTTCCTGCACTAATTCTCCAAGAGAGGTAATAACATATCCAAATAAATTTTCAAATTAAATGAAAATAAACAAATTGAAAACAAGAATGATAAAATCCCAACCAATGTAAATCCAGCAGCAAAAATGATATCTCCACAACCTGAATATTCATATTGTTCATCATTCTTCATTCACTCAACAAACTGAACTATAAAGCAGTAAACGTAAAGGTCAGTTTTTTTAAGACCATAATTTTATTCACACCACATACACATATCCCATATCTAAAGCAACCGGTGGTCATAACATGATTAGAGTTTAGGAAAGCCATTGACTGGGTAGTTCACATATCTTGTTACAACTCAAATTCGTATATTCAGTTTATTGACTTTTCTAGGTGAACTTAGTTAGCCACTGGGGTGGCTAACTACAATTTAAATCTACAATTTAAACACACTGTGTGAACTCAGCCGATTTTGGACTGTTAAACAAAACAGTTAATAGCACTTAGCCTTATATACCCCTCCATGGTGCTTTACAACAGCCTCTGAGCCAGTGGTTCTCAACCTTCCTAATGCCGTGACCCTTTAATACAGTTCCTCATGTTGTGGTGACCCCCAACCATAAAATTATTCCTAAAACCATTGAAAATATGTGTTTTCCGATGGTCTTAGGCGACCCCTGTGAAAGGGTCGTTCGACCCCCCAAAGGAGTCGCGACCCACAGGTTGAGAACCACTGCTCTGAGCAGTTTACCCTAACAACCTGGGTCCTCATTTTACCCACCTATTAAACATCTGTTTCAATATTTTGCTCTTTTTATCTGTGCTGTACTATGTATCATATTATTAAGCAAATTTATATAGCTGCCCATGTCATAAATGTGTCTCTGGGTGGCATACAACAATACAGTTATCAACAACTACCTAAAAACAATTAAACATAAAAAGAACTAAGACAGCAGAATGGACCAACATTCTAAACACAATACAGATTACAGCCATTCATTTTAGTGACCATTTGAAGTTACAACAGCACTAAAAAAAAAATGACAACTGTTTTTCACACTTGAGACTGGCAGCATCCCCATGGTCACATGATCAAAATTCAGATACTTAGCAACTGGTTTTTATTTATGATGGTTGCCGTTGTCCCAGTCTCAGGTGATCATGAGACCTTCTGACAAGCAAAGTCAACGGGGAAGCAAGATTCACTTAACAACTGTGTCACTCGCTTAACTGCAGTGATTCACTTAACAACTGTGGCAAGAAAAGTCATAAACTGGGGCAAAACTTACTTAACAATTGTCTTGCTTAGCAACAGAAAAATTTGGGCTCAGTTATTGTCATAAATCGAGGACTACATGTATAAATATCTTGCAGGCTCCATTTCCCATGGGATCCCTAAGATTGCTGGAAAAAAACATTTTAGAGATTTCCAGAAGGCTATAGAGATGGGTGCACAGGGGGGGGGGATGATTTTCCAAAAGAGAGAGTACCATGGCAAAAAACCCTCCTCTCTGGCCTCATCTCCTGAGGGTCCAGTCAGATGTAAGAGTCACATGTAACTCTTTAGCAATACACACATTTTCATTCTTCCTCATATCAAATACTTTATGAAAAACAAGGAAACAATCTTCCTGAGAATGCTCAGGAAGATAAATCTATCTCAGCATCTACTTCTGTTCTACTATCACAGCACCATTGAGAGTGTCCTGACATACGGCATTCTTGCATGGTATGGGAGCAGCTCTGTAGCGGACAAGAAAACTCTACAGAGAATCATTAAAACTGCCCAGAATATCATCAGACTCCAGCTACCAGCCCTGGACGACATCTTCGAATCTCACTGTTTGAAAAAGTTGCGTAACATTCTCAGAGACTCTTCCCATCCTGCTTACAATCTTTTTGGAATGTTGCCTTCTGGCAGAACATATAGAACAATTAAAACTCGGACCACACGTTTTCTGAATAGTTTTTATCCCAGAGCTATAATTGCACTCAACAATGAACTAAAGGGCCACCATCAGTGAGCTGTTAGACAGTATTACTCTCTGTTGTGTGGATGTTTGGTCTGTTGTGTGGATGTTTGGGTAGTTTAGGGGTGGGGAATTGTGGTGGGTGGGAGTATGTTTGGGGATTATTATGTGTGTTGGACGTGGTCTTTGGGTGTTAAGTGAATTTCGTTGTATGGGTATACTGTGTATACACGTACAATGACAATAAAGTTATTATTATTAGAAAAGGCAAAGATTGCTATTACACAAAGCTTGTTTATCATTTGTTGAATATGTCACCGTTGGCTAGGTTCACACAACATACAAAGCTTGTAAACCAACTCTCTCTAATCTGATGGACTAGATGTGTGGCAGCTACTCTACCACTATTTCTAGCCAGCCTGACAATAGGAAGTTGTCATCCTGTCACATCTAGAAATCTCTGGAAAATACTGGCTACTAAGCAGCACCATAGATCCAATCCTGAGTATTTTTATTATTATTATTATTTCTTTTATTCATTAAACATGAAACTCAGTCAACTGGACATTTAAAAATGTGTCACAAATACCATTGACTGGTGCTAATGGTGCTAATTTTACCCACCTATTAAACATCGACTCTGGCATCTCCTGGGACCGTGATGTCAATAAATTGTACATTTCGGTTTTTGACAACTGTGATATCTGGCGTGTTGTGTTCCAAGTGACGATCTGTCTGTATTTGTAAGTCCCACAAGATCTTCACCTTCTCACTTTCTATAACTTTTTCCACTTTATGTTCCCACGACTTTTTGGATACAGGTAAGTCATATTTTTTACATAATGACCAGTGGATTGTCTAGTTTTGTAATCAGTTTGTGTGATTTTGCTGCATTCACGTATTAAATGTGAAACAGTTTCGACTTTGTTGTTGCAAAGTTGGCAGTTTGGATTGTCAGTGGATTTTTGTATCATTATTGTTGTTGTTGTTGTTGTTGTTGTTGTTGTTGTATATGCTGCCCCTAAAATCCATGTGGATTTTCCTCCCTTGTGCCTAGCCATGGCACAAACACTTTTACTACTGTACTGTCTGTGAACAAAGCAGCCATAAGTATTCCTAGTTTTACCTATAATCTTTTCCCTCTGATGCCAACTCTGGTAGGATTTGGTAGGCTGCTCTGTGATAGGTAGCATTTGGTAGGATCTGTGGCTAATTACTTGGGAAAGAAGGGGAAGGATTGGAATAATTGACAGAATAAGGATTGACTATGAGGGAGACAGCAACACTTGTGCTGGGTAGTTTAAACCAGGGGTCTCCAACCTTGGCAACTTTAAGACTTGTGGACTTCAAATCCCAGAATTCTGGGAGTTGAAGTCCACAAGTCTTAAAGTTGTCAAAGTTGGAGACCCCTGGTTTAAATAGTTAAACGGGCAGAGAAAAAGACCCCCAGTTTAAATCAACGGATATCTCTGCTTGCAAACTCATCATATAAAGGTTTCCTCGGGTGAAGCTCTGGACTCCCAGCTTTTGACCCGGTATGGAAATCTCTGCCAAAATCCTTCTTTCCGGGCTTTTTTTCCGACTTCCAAGCTCCGGTAAAAAAAAAAAAAAATCAGAAATGTCAGATAAAGTTGTGGCTGTAATGTTACCTTCTACTGTGCTAAAGTGGGTGCCTTTTCTTTTTTCTCCCGTTACACTGTATCCCTTCTTTTTCTCCTCCCTCTCTTACTTTTTCAGGCTTTTCTTTCTCTTTATATTTGATAAACTAATAAAAAAGTTAAATGGGGGGAAAAAAAGTCAGATGAAGCCCTAGGGCAGGGGTTCCCAAACTTGGCTGCTTTAAGACTTGTGGACTTCAACTCCCAGAATTCTCCAGCCAGCTTTGCTTTTTTGGGAGTTGAAGTCCACAAGTCTTAAAGCTGCCAAGTTTTGAAGACCTCTGCCCTACGGTAATACTAACCGGGCCGCCACTGCTTAGTTTTCGAAATCAACGAAATTGTATCGAATGTTGGGGCAAAGTTCAAACACGGGGAAATTAGCAGAGGGGTGTTTAATGAGAGTTACACAAGCACGAAGCGTGCATTTACTCTTTACGCCCCTGTTAAATTGCGTTGTCTAATTAATTTAGGCTAGTTCAGTTACGTCAGTGCCAACCGGACCGAATTAAAGCGCATCGTACGGTCTAGACTAGATCTCCAATGTAGGCTTTTGACCGGACCGTTCGCTTTCTGTAGTAAAAAAAATAAATAAAATAAAATCGCTCACCGCTGTCCTCCACGGAGAAAGTTTACTTTCGCTTTCGAACTCTGCCAGCATATTCTGTTTGCAAGGGGGAACCGCAATATATTCGCACGCCCTCGCTGGCCAGGCGTTTTCTCCCCCCCACTCCACTCGGCCCGCTTTCCAGCGGGGTTGACTTACAAGGATCTTTCCGACTGCAAAATACCCGGAGAAGCTTCTCAATAAAAAATAAATAAATAAATAAAAAGCCCCGTTTTCCCAGCAGCAAGAAACGAAAGTCTCAGCCTTATTTGACTGCAGATCACGTGGAAGGGAGGAAAGCGGGCAGGAAGGTGCAGGCTATCGCCGGCAGCTGCGAAGTCATCTCCCCTTGAGGCCAAAGTGGAAAGTCTGCCCGCCCTCTGCACATGACAAAAGATTCTCTTGAGAGCCGCGATGTTTCTCACGTTTGACACGCGGCGGCCCCGTTAACAAGATTGCGATAGCCTTTCGCGCCACCCGAAGCTGAAATAGGATTAAGTTAGCTCTGCGTATGCTCTGTGCGACCGATGAAGCTTCTTGGGTGAGAAGCGAAACGTTTTCTTCTTCCTCCTCAGGGGGGAAAAAAAACCAGTCCAGTCTTTTGAAAAAAAAAGCACCTTTGAGACAACTATGACCTGGATGACTGAGAATGTCCACAGACAATCATGTATGGCTTAGTGCAGTGTATGAATCTGACCTAGACTGTTGAGGGCAATATGCTGACTGTAAACCGCTTACGGCTGTAAAGCACTGTGAAGCAGCATATAAGTCTAAATCAGAGGTGGGTTTCAGCAGGTTCTGACCAGTTCTGGAGAACCGGTAGCAGAACTTTTGAGTAGCTCGGAGAACCTGTAGTAAAAATTCTGACGGGGGTGGGGTGGAAATGGAGATTTTGCACTATCCTTCCCCTGCCACGCTCACCAAGCCATGCCATGCCCACCAAGTCGCACCCACAGAACCGGTAGTAAAAAATTTTGAAACCCACCACTGGTCTAAGTGCTATTGCTTTTGTTATTGTTAGGAACCCAATTCGGATTTAGTCAAGTAAGCCATGATTAAGCAAAATGATGGCGTAGTGAGAGAAAGGAATTCCATCACCATTATTAATAACACACTGCTCTTAGTTAGCAGGCAAGCCAAGGAAAGATCACACAGAGCTTTCTAATTCTAACCTTTTTCCTAGCAGACAGTACTGAATTAAGCTCTCCCAATTTGATGGCAGCTGAGTGGGATGGAATTCGGCTTCCAAAATTTCCAGCAAGATGATACTAGGCAGAGTCCAGAAAACTGCCTCAGAAATAGATTTGATTCCCAGGACATTTCACAACTGGTTCCCCATGTCTTCTCTTTAAAAAAAAAAAAAAGTAAGATTGTACAGTACAGGTATGGTCCGCAAACTTTGTAGTACCTTAGCCCTCTAAAACTCACATTTTTTTTGTCTGTGTGACATCTCTCCCCACCCCCCCAAGAAGATTTCATTGATGTTAGAGTTTGGCAAGAAATAAATAAAACACTGGGCAAAAGAAGAATGGGACGGCAGAGAATGAGGCGGCTGGATGGAGTCACTGAAGCAGTAGGCGTGATCTTAAATGGACTGCGGGGGATGGTAGAGGGCAGGAAGGCCTGTTCATGGGGTCGTTATGGGTCAGACACGACTTTGCAACTAACAACAAATAATGAAATTTTAATCTGTATGTCACCAGGATTTAAACTTTGCTTATCTTGGAGAAAAATACCTAGGTGGTTGCTAAGAGTTGTTGCTGACTTGATGGCACATTAAATCAAACTGCAAGACAACAACTCGAGAGATTAAGGAGGAAAATAAGGAGCAAAAAGTTTTGATTGCTCCTACTTTAGGCTGCATAAGCTTAACCAGGTTAACGGACCTCCAAGTCAGTTGCATGTAATCTCCTTGTCCACCGTATGAAAATCAGGAATGCTGTAACATGGCCTAAGAGAAATGAGCAGACAATACAGAGCAACTGCCTTGCTTGTATACTGTACTAAGCTGTACAGTGACTTCTTTAACAGTGATTTATTAAAAATCATTGTTGGACTCTCAGAACATGCAAAGATATAAGCTGTTGTTTACAAACGACACATTGATTGACTTCAGAGGATGTGCTAAACCAGCCACAACACTATAGTCTTAAATTTAGTATGGATGAACCCAGCCACAGTACCATACAAACTTGCAAACTAAATGCTATGGGCTCACATATTCGAGGGACTCACAGCTGCCTTCCTTTGGGTATCTCAGGTGTATCTTAGATGCTCTATATGATTATTTATGAATGCATTTCTTTTCCCCAACAAAAGAAGGGGCAAGAAATCATGTCAAATGAATCAGGCATTTGTCAGCATGACATAGCTGCATTGAAGGTGCTTTTATCTATGAATTTGGAAAGTGGGGACATGTTTGTTTCTCCATCCAGGTTGTCAACATCCAATAGTGACAATTGTCAGGGTTCCAAACACCCCCAACGAAAGAAGAAGTTCCATTTTATTAGAAATGTTATATTGGCACATCTGGGAAAACCCAAATCCAGGTTTTCCCCACCCAAAAGAGAGTCAAAGATCCATCCCCTGCACCAACAAGTCCATCACATGGTCCAATCATTTCAACGTCCCAACTGGAGACGGCCTCCAGTCACTCCCATCCAGGTGCAGACCAGATGCCCTTGACTTCCAGAGAAAGGAATGTTGTTATGGCTAATCCTCCTCCACTCTGTGCAATCCCCCCTCCCGTTTTCCCAGACACTAAATGTGGCAGCCCTGAACCTCCCAATGGTAAATATGGCATTCAGGGCTGACAACAATATGCTTGTGCCTTTTTTATTCATCCTGTTTCTCATCATTTATTTTTCAGCAGGAATGTCACTGTCATTACGCCGTAACAGTGCTTCGTATATTCAATACAAAAATAAGTGGCTCATCTTTAGTAATGGAAGATCACTATATTCATTCATTTATGTATGTGTGTGTTGTAGAGCCGAGGATTTTGTTCAGTATCTGTATGACAAAATCACTCAGATTCGGGAAGATCTGGACTCTGACTGGGTAGTCTCAGGGGGAGGGACTGGGGCAGGTCTTGAGAATGTTATCTGGGAGGAGTTTGATCCTGTGACCCCTGAGGACGTGGACAGGATTCTGGGTAGACTGAACGCGACCACTTGTTTATTGGACCCATGTCCCTCCTGGTTAGTGCTGGCTTCTCGGGAGGTGACACGAAGCTGGTTCCAGGGGATTATAAATGCTTCGTTGGGTGAGGGTGTCTTTCCTGCCGCCTTGAAAGAGGCGGTGGTGAGGCCTCTCCTCAAGAAGCCTTCCCTGGACCCGGCAATGTTGGTAAATTATCGTCCGGTCTCCAACCTTCGTTTTGTGGCGAAGGTTGTTGAGAGTGTGGTTGCGAAACAGCTCCCCCAGCACCTGGATGAAACGACGTATCTGGATCCGTTCCAGTCGGGCTTCAGGCCCGGGTACAGCATGGAAACGGCATTGGTCGCATTGGTTGATGATCTCTGGAGGGCTCGGGACAGGGGGTGCTCCTCTGTCCTGGTCCTGTTAGATCTCTCAGTGGCTTTTGATACCATCGACCATGGTATCATGCTGCACCGGTTGGAAGAGTTAGGGGTGGGAGGCACTGTGTTGCGGTGGTTCTCCTCCTTTCTCTCTGACCGGTCGCAGTCTGTGTTGACAGGGGGACAGAGGTCGACCCCGAGGCCCCTCATATGTGGGGTGCCGCAAGGGTCGGTCCTCTCGCTTGTCCTGTTCAACATTTATGTGAAGCCGCTGGGCGAGATCATCCGTGGTTTCGGGGTGGAGTACCATCAGTACGCTGACGACACCCAGCTGTACATCTCCACCCCGGATCACCCCAACGATGCTCTTGAAGTGATGTCCCGGTGCCTGGAGGCCGTACGGATCTGGATGGGGAAGAACAGGCTCAGGCTCAACCCATCCAAGACCGAGTGGCTGTGGTTTCCGACGTCCCGATATAGTCAGTTGACACCATCACTGACTATTGGGGGCGAATCATTGCCCCCCAGGGAGAGGGCTCGCAACTTGGGCATCCTCCTGGATTCACGGCTGTCTTTAGAAGAGCACTTGACGGCCGTGACTGGGAGGATTTTTCATCAGGTTCGCCTGATTCGCCAGTTGCGTCCCTTTCTGGATCGGGACTCGTTACGCACGGTCACTCATGCCCTCGTCACCTCCCGTCTGGACTATTGCAATGCCCTCTACATGGGGCTCCCCTTGAGGAGCACCCGGAGGCTCCAACTGGCGCAGAGTGCGGCCGCGCGGGTGGTAATGGGAGCGACATGGCGCTCCCATGTAACACCTCTCCTGCGCGAGCTGCACTGGCTCCCGGTGGTCTTCCGGGTGCGCTTCAAGGTTTTGGTTACCACCTTTAAAGCGCTCCATGGCTTAGGGCCTGGTTATTTACGGGACCGCCTACTACCACCAATAGCCTCCCGCCGGCCAGTACGCTCTCATAGAGAGGGACTCCTCCGGGTGCCGTCAGCCAAACAGTGTCGGCTGGCGACCCCTAGGGGGAGAGCCTTCTCTGTGGGGGCACCTACCCTCTGGAATGAGCTCCCCCCCAGAGATACGGAGGATCCCGGATCTGCGCACCTTCCGCCGCGCTGTGAAGACCTTTTTATTCCATCAGGCAGGCTTGGCCTAATCTCTTCCCTTTTTTAAATATGTAAATTTTAATCTGTTTTTAAATTATTGGGGTGTTTTAATCTGTCTGGGCCAAAATGATTTAATTTGATTTTATCTGGTTTTTAAATTTTTTGTATCTATGTATTTTATTGTTTGGCTGTTCACCACCCTGAGTCCTTCGGGAGTAGGGCGGTATACAAATCAAATAAACTAAACTAAACTAGATGCTACAGGCAAAACGTAGAAGTCAGGTGGCCTTCTAGATTAGTGGTTCTCAGTGTGAACCATATGATTACCCCCAAGGTACCCATACCATATTTCTAGAGGGTCAGGCAACCTTAACTGCTAGCCATTATGGACAGTTTGTTATAACCACATCTCATTATGCTAATTTCTTGTCTGCATAAGCAATCATTTTTGTTAGTTACTACAAATAATTTGTTATAGTTTACATTAATAATTTGTAATCTATGTGTTTTATTTTTTGGCTGTTCACCGCCCTGAGTCCTTCAGGAATAGGGCGGTATATAAATCTAATAAAATCAAAATCAAAAAATAAGCACTGCATATGGTAAGGTACCCTTTTCCAGCTAATGGCAACTATGGGAAGGGGCCACAGAGGCAATTGAAGTTCAGAAGGGAACCCTGGGGCTGCCTTTGAAGACCATTCTCCAATAGTATCTGCCTATCCTGTTCAAGCTGGCAGTGTTGGTGAACTCTGG